ATCTCGATATTCTTTCGTTCCCGATGCATTTTGGGGTTGGGAGACGCGCTGTCCCTAATGGCATGTCAATAGTACTTGTGAGACGTACGAGTCTAACATTTCGAAATAGTGAAAATCTGCTTCCATAAAATGAATACTGGTGCGAACCAGATATTCCCGCCTTTTCTATCGAGAGGAACGCGGGCTCCTTTCGAGGGCAGCGGTTAGTAATTTGACCCAAGAGATTCGTTTCGTGCAGGAGTGACAAAAGAAACGCACATTTGGGCTATCTAAACCTTTTTCCCCATGGAAAGCTTGTTTACAACAAGAGCAATTTGAAGGGTATCCTGTCTTATCCCCATTCCTCTTGCAGCTTCCCTGTTTGTATTCTACGCGAGTAAGAGGCGTTTTTACCACTGTTGTTTTGCTAGAGTGCTAGCGAGGGCTATTTTTAGCTGTCAAAGTATCTTTAGGGGTGCACTCGAAGAAGTGATAGTGAAAAACGCTTTTATTTCCGTTTTTAGGCTTGATTTCCGCCGGTCTCTTGAGTCCGGTCTACAAGCGCTGGCTCCTTTTTGAGTTATTTTTTTGTAAAAAAAAATACCCCCTTAGTCGGCGCGTCGGGTATGTTATGGATGGGTCAATGGATGAGTGAGTGAGTGAGAGATGTATGTACGTCACACCAATCAGATTGGATCTACTATAAACANGCCAATCAAATTTCTTGTTGTAAAGGTAAATGGTATGTGAGAAGATTTGATCCCGATACAGCTCAGAACGGCCATATTTATTCTTCTATAAAAGAGGAGGAAGTATTCATATATTGGGTTTACTTAGACATTTTCTGTAGGTTAGGCTGAGGATGTTAGTTATGAACGAGATGAGCCTTGAGGTTTGAAACAGTTCGTGAGTTAGTAGTATGCAAATGCAACGAGATATTTTCATTTTTAGTTACAAAGGTAACTTGATACTTTTGTTTTTCACAAGGAGTAAATTCAATTAGAGGTCACGAATCGTCGCGTCTAATTCTTAGGACATGTTTTAGAGGGGACGAGACTTCAGATTTGAAACAGTTCTAACGTTTACAATAGTAAGTGCGGGTAACGATTGTTTTGTTC